TCGCCCCTAACCGTCTCTGCCTCGCCTCACACCTGGGACCCAGGATTCCCTCTTCCAACGGTCACAGGCACCAGGGACCCAGGCTTCCTTCCCTCTGGCCAGCCGTCGGCACCCAGGACCCAGGCCAGCCTTGCACGGGCTGGCCGGCGCTACAGGGGACCATGGGCGGATGGCTTTGCCTGGGCCGCAGCCGTAGGTGCCTGGGACTGTGAGGTGGGTGGCTTGTCCCTCTCCCAGGCTGCAGCCACAGGCACTGGTGCCCGGGACTGCAGGGCGTGCGGCTTGTCCCTCTCCTGGGCTGCAACCCCAGCCGCTGGCACCTGGGACCGTGGGGTGTGCGGCTTGTCTCTCTTGTGGGCCGCAGGCTGGCTGGTCACCATTCCTCTCTCCCCAGTGTTGAGTGTCTGAGCTGTTAGGCGTAATGACCATTTGCATATTAGCTCTTTAATATATAGGATTGGACAGCACACCTCTAGACCTTTAACTCGTCCGCTGAGTATAAGCTCAGGGAGCAGGGACCAGCATGCCTCATTCCCAGAACCTGGCAGAGAGCAGTTCTCTTCAGGACTGATTCCTGACTTTTCTCCGTTACTGCTAGAAATTGCTAGAGAATGGTGCGTATTTCTTTGGTGCAGATTGTTATTAAATTCAATTGTGTAGTTAAATTACATTTAATTAAGTGTTATATTCCTAGAATACTTTAACACTAGTGTATGTGTGTCCCCACATATACTTCCATTATCTAAAATAGTTTAGAAACTCAGTTTAAAACAATACATTATTTTTGAAAAATGTTTCCTTGGAAATAATTTTTAGATTGATACTGCAATCAAGTTGAACTCTGATCAAGAGAGCCACTCAGAAAGCAGTAATTCAGAGGGAAGTAGAAACAATAAGGATGATAAAGGAGAATATTACTCTGAGAATAATATAAAACTGGCTAAAGAAGGGTCAGATGAAGATTTGAACTTGGTTCAACATCAGATAATTTCTAAATGTTCAGGTAGGTGATTGACTAATGATAATTACAGATGTTAAAATATTAGAATTAGATATGTTTTTTATCAGATAAGTAGAAATAAGTAATGACTTATTTTTTGTGTGAACAATCAATCATAAGTGATTATTTGGAAGAATATTAGGAGTCCTTAAGTACACTTAGAAAAATAATAAGATATGTCATTTAATAAAATTGTTTTATTTCTGCATTTTATTACAGGAATTATTGATCTTTTTGATGACTAAAATTGTACAATAAAATGTATCATGTAATTTATAAATACTTTTTAGGGATAATCCCACTTGATCTTACTAATTATTGGATTTTAAAAGTCTCCTTTTTTCATGGTTATTAAGTTAATACTGGTCAGAATGAATTAGAACAGCAGTTCTCAAAATGTGGTCTTGAGAGCTCTGGGTGTCTCTAGGCCCCTTTCAAGAGCTCTGCAAAGTAAAAACTACTTTCATCACAATATTGACATAATATATTAGTAATATAGTTTATCATAATACTGAAATAATTTGCCTTCTTGCCCACTGAATGGACATTTTCACTGATGGTACAAAAGCAGTGTAGGTAAAATTGCTGGTGCTTTAGCAAGGCAGTGGCATAAATTTGAACCAGGGCAATGGCATCAAATTGCACTATTAGTCATTATATTCTTCATGACCAGGCACTGGCAGAAAAAAGAAATAGCCAGTGTCACTCAAGAATGTCTTTGAAGCAATAAAAATTAATAATTTTATTACATTTTGACCTTTGAACACACATCTTTTAATATCTTTTGTGGTAGAATGGGAGGTACATATAAAACAAATCTGCTGTACTAGTATACCAAAATGTGAAGGTTGTGCTAAGGAAAAGTACTTGTGTGATAGTTTGAGAACTGAAGGGGCCACTTTTTAAATGGAACACCATTTTTACTTGAAAGAATAACCGACAGAAAATCTATTACCCTTCAGACTTGGGTATTTGGCATTCATTTTTAAAAAAATCACCTGGCTGGTGTGACTCAGTGGTTGAGTCTTGGCCTATGAACTAGGAGTTCAGGGGTGGATTCCTGGTCAGGGCACATGCCCAGATTGCCGGTTAGATCTCCAGTGGGGGGCGTGCAGGAGAGAGCTGATCAGTGATCCTCTCTTATCATTGATGTCTCTATCTTCTGTTCCCTTCCTCTCTGAAATGAATTAAAATACATTTTTTTTTAAAAAAGAAATGAGCCTGTTACCTCAAGGAAGACATAAGACAGTATTTTTTGTCAATGATAAAATTTGAGCTTTTAAGTGAAAGGTGGAATTTTAGAAAACTTATGTTTGTCCATGTGAGCTTGACAACTTCTTAATACTTAGACTTTTCTGAAAAAAAAATTGGTGGCCATCTTCACAAATGTGATTTTTTTTGATGTATACTGAAATGTGTTAACATTTGAAGGTCTACATAATTCAGTGAACCACTGTTTTCCAACTGACCAGTGCAGGGTAAAAGACCCATTTAACATGAAAGATAGATCCATGGATTTTAATGGAACAAATAGAAAAAGTTCACTAATATGGTTACAGGTTTTACATTACAGCTAACCTTTTAGAGACCACCCCTTGTTAAATTTTTATATAGTGTCAAAGAAGAATATTCACCATTATCTGAAAAGGCTATTAAATTTCTCTTTTTCTTTCCTACTATGTTTTGTTTGGCCAACTTTTCTTTGTGTACTTTAACTAAAATGACAGATTGCTCTAGATTGACTTGATTTCAGCTATCTTCTATTAATCCAGATATTAAAAAATTAAAACAATGGTATTCTTCTCAGTATTTTTTGAAAAATGTAGTTATTTTTAAAAAAGTATTACATTTATGTTAACATATAATTAGTAATAACATATTTATTTAAAAATGAATAAATGTTTACAATATTTTCAGTTTTGATTTCTAATATTGTAATTATCAATAGATATAACTCACATCAATAAAAGCTACTTTGGATTCTGAGTAACTTTTAAGGCTGTAAAGCAGGAGTGGGGAACATCTGCCCACGGGCCATGGAAGGCTCATGAAATCATTTGATCTGGCCCTGCCAAGGCATTAGGGGTGAGTTAATTAAATGTTTGACCAAATATAAGCAGGCTAATTTTTAAGTTGATAATTGTGTATGGCGAATGATGTTATAAATATCCAAATGATGCTTGGCAGAAAAAAGGTTCCCCACCCCTGCAAGAGAAGGTGAAATTCATAAACTGTGAAAACTGCTGAGTTCGTATAAATTTGGAATGATATTAGGTCTCAAAGTAAGGCCAGGTGATTCAGGATTATAGTCATCAGGAAACAGGTATTGTAGTTGAGATGAGCTGTAACCCAGTTTACATTGTATTTAATGTTGTTTCAGTACTGCATGATGAGTTACTTCAAAATGCCTGCTCTATAGACCACCTGTGTACACGGAGCCTGAGCATGCTAGGATTTGCGGCTGGGAATTAGAACTAGAGGCTATTGCATTTGAAGTACATACGCATTAAAATGTGCAGAGCTTCCTTATTAATATCAGTATTCTTTTTGGATAAGCTTATTCCCTCTGAAAATGTTTTAATTTCCTTAAAGAGGAAGTAATACACATTATAGAAAAACATAATTGAACTCTTTGGATTTTCAAAAGTTGCAAAATTTGGCCTTTCTTAGCATAATATGCCATTTCTAATGATCTAAACTAGGGTGGCTGAGCCTTCAGAGTTTGAGCAGTATGCTCATTGCCAGATGATCATCTTTCATCAGACTTCACAGAGGAAGTAACTTAAAACTTGAATGATGAAAATTCTATAGAGTCCCTAATTTCAAATAAGTTACTTCTAATTATCCACAACTCAAGAACATTTTTAGGTACCTCAAGAAAATTGAACAAGTGGGAAGGGCATAGGTAAAAGGTGTCTGGTTACATGGAGTACTTTTCTGTATTAGTTTCTATATGTTGGAACCATTTTGTGTCACTATTATGACAAGTTCTATTTCACTGTATCTATAGCGTACATGCCTTCTTTCTCAATTAGTCTGAAGCAGCTTTAAGATAGGGTTTTTGTATTATTCCTTATTTGTTAATTATATGGATATAGAAGGTATAGCAGAATAAAGGAGAAAGAATTTGGGAATTAAAATCACACAAGACCCACTTCTGGGTTCAGTGCTGTAATATATTAGCTATTTAAAAGGATCCAGTTATCACAGCTGTAAAATAGACATGTCTATTTCACAGGATTTTTAGATAATTATGTGAAAAACTACATGTGAAAGCACCTATAAATCAAGATACTTGACTCAATGTTACTTATTACGATCAGCCATAAATATTTGTTGAATGAAAGAAGAAATAGTAAAAACAAAGCTTTATGGTTTTTTAAAACTTCGAGCTTATTCCTACTTTCAACACAATATAGATGAACCCAAATTAAAAGAATTCGATTCTCAACTTCAAGATGCGATTCAGAAGATGAACAGGCTTGATAAAATATTGATGAAGAAACAATGTAGAGAAAAAGAAGTTAAGAAGCAAGGTCTAGAAATGAGAATAAAGCTATGGGAAGACCTTAAGGTAAGAATTATATAAACACATGCTGACATGTAAGAAGCCATTTCCTCTGTGATAAGTAAGAAGAGCACAGACTATGGTAGTTACTAATGTGGTCTGCCTTTATTGATTTATTTTGTGGAGGAAGGTAACTTTTCAGCATTCCAGATTTTAGGCACTGCATTGGCACTGGTGTGTTCATTCCCCACCAACAACCCAGTAGGCATCCTGTTTCTAATTTTTTTTAAGTATATTTTTTATTGATTAAGATATTACATATGTGTCCTTATCCCCACGCTAACC